TTCCCTCAGGCCTCTGGGAGGGTGAAAATGGCCTCCCTCAGGCTCCGGAGGTCCTGTGGAAGCCGGAAATAGGCCCATATCTGGACTTCTGGAACTTTCCGGAAGGCCATTTTTCCCCTTCCCAAGAGTCCAGAGGCTTCCCTCAGGCCTCTGGGAGGGGGAAAACGGCCTCCCTCAGGCTCCATATGCCCTCCGGAAATCAGAAACAGGCCCGTTTCTGGACTTCCGGTCCAGGCCATTTTTCCCTCTCCCAGAGCCTCCACGCGGACCCAGAGTGGGATTCTACCAGTTCGGGCAAACCGGATGTTAAAAGTTACATCCGGTTCGCCAAACTGGTATTTCAAACGACCAGCTGGACCCGCCAACCCTGTCCCTGCACGGAGGCTCTGGGAGGGGGGAAAATGGGCCTCCCGGAAGTCCGGCTTCCGGTAGGCCTCCAGAGCCCGGGGGAGGCCGTTTTTGCCCTCCCAGAAGCCGGGGGAGGCCTCCGGACCCTTGGGAGGGTGAAAACGGCCTACCCCGGGCTCTGGAGGCCCACCGGAAGCCGGAAACAGGAAGTTCCGGTAGCGAACCGGTTGCGGAGATCTTTGAATCCTACCCCTGCGCGGTCCCTGCCCTTACCTGTATCCAAAACAGGCCACGTGGAGACTCCTGGGAGGAGAGGGGCAAGGTGAGCGGGGCCAGCCGGTCAGTTCCACTACCGGTATGGCAAACCAGGTGTAAATTTAACAACCGGTTCTCCCGAACTGGTCCAAACCGGCTGAATCCCAGCCCTGGCTGTTTCCAACGTCTTGCATCACATCACAGTTGTGCAATTTTGGTCCAAAATTGAGGCTTGCTTCTGGTTTCCATTCAAAATGCCCAATGCAATTGAGTTCGCTTAATGACCGGAGCTGGCTTTATGACCGCCACCCTTTGCTTCATGATTGCGGCAAACCAGCGGTCGTAAAATCAGGCTGGTTCTCCTGACCTGCTTTACATCCGGTCAAGACTGATGACCTTCAGAGGCTCCCATTGGCTGTTGTAAGTCAAGGACTACCTTCATGTTGACTAGGGGATTGTGGGAGTTGAAGTTCATTCATCCTCAAGCCTGCTGAGCAGGGGATTCTGGGAATTGAAGTCCATATTTAAGCATGTAGGGAAATGGTTCCATTCACCCTAAGCATGCTGGCTAGGAATTCTGGGAGTTGAAGTCCATTCAGCCTCATGCATGCTGAGTAGGGGATTCTGGGAACTGAAGTCCATTCAGCCTCATGCATGCTGAGTAGGGGATTCTGGGAACTGAAGTCCATTCAGGCTCATGAATGCTGAGTAGGGGGTTCTGGGAGTTGAAGTCCATTCAGGCTCATGCATGCTGAGTAGGGGGTTCTGGGAGTTGAAGTCCATTCATCCTCAAGCATGTTGAATAGGGGATTCTGGGAGTTGAAGTCCATTCATACTCAAGCCTGCTGGCTGGGGAATTCTGGGACGATCCTGGGCTCCCCTCACCAACTTCTCTTTCCCACAGTATCTCCCTCTCAAAGCGTGGCTGTACCGAGACGGTTTTGCTCGCTTCTCCAACACGCGGTACACCCTGAACACCTTGGATGATCAGTGTATCCTGAGACCTGCTTCCGGAGACGGAAGGGGCTACTGGGGAGGGGGAGGCAGGGACAGGGTGAGTGGGGGATTCTGGGAGTTGGAGTCTAGCCATCTTAAAGCATGCTGGCTGGGGAATTCTGGGGGTTGGAGTCCATCCATCTTAAAGCAGGCTGGCTGGGGAATTCTGGGAGTTGGAGTCCACCCATCTTAAAACATGCTGGCTGGGGAATTCTGGGAGTTAGAGTCCACCTATCTTAAAACATGCTGGGCGGGGAATTCTGGGGGTTGAAGTCCCCCCGTTGCCAAGGTTGAGCACCACTGAAGTAATCAAACCATTTATCATTTTGGTGTGTCTTCAAAATTAAATATTGACTTCTGGTAACTGCCTTGCCAGTGCCTCCTTCTTAGGCCTAAAAAACAGCGACTGGTCCACGATGACCCAGCATGGCTGGCTAGGGATTCTGGGAGTTGAAGTCCCCCCCATCTTAAAACATGCTGAGTTTGGAAACCACTTATTTAATACATAACGGGAATTTGCTACGAAGGATTAAAGGAAGGAGGTGGCCGATAACGGGGAAGTCGGTAGCTGGGCGTTGCAGGAATTCCTTTTCCGGTGCCGCTGTAACTTCCAGCGGTCGCTGAACAAACAGTTGAAAATCGAGGACTTTTACCTGCACGGTTTTCTTCCCATCTGCACGATCCTTAGCTCCTCGATGCCAGACATTCACCTGACCAATGTAGCTGTGCAGAAGACGGCCCCCGACTACGATCCCGAGAAAGTAGGCGTGTTTTTTTTTAAAAAAAAAATCTCCTGTTTATAACTCTCGGTCTTTCCCCTTCTAAAGCCGTGCGGTAGTTCTTTGAGTGGTTTGCAAGAATCCTGTTTTTAAAATGAAGCCCCCCCAAAAAATAAGGACGGAGCTCCAAGGCGGCTATTGGTTATTTTTTTCCAATAATGAAGGAAAGGGAGGTTTGTCAGAAACGCCCAGATGTTGACTGTGACTGCATTGAGGTGTGTGTCTGCGGCTACTGCTTTCTTGCGGACGTTTCGTGACCTAACTAGGTAACATCATCAGGGCTAGAAGGGAATGGTGTTTACAGGGAGGAGGAGGAGAAATGGAGAAACGGTGGGGTGCTTGGTGCTCTTCTTGAAGATGTTTTGTGACCCAACCAGAAAACATCATCAGTTCTAGAAGGGAGTGCAGTTTACTTTCTGTTTATATGCTTGTCCTGTTAGCACCAAGGACCTCAAAGTCGTCTTCTTCCTCCTCCTCTCCCTCAACCACCCGCTTCTCTCGGCGAACCCTCCTCCCTTCTCGCACTGATGATGATGTTACCTAGTTGGGTCGTGAAACGTCTGCAAGAAAACCTAGTTCTGAGGGCACCAAGGACCTCACATTCCCCCACCTCCCGCCGCCTTCTGGCACTGATGATGTTCCCTGGTTGGGTCATGAGACGTCTGCAAGGAAACCAACAAGCTCAGAGAGCACCAAGGACCTACATTTTCTCCTCCTCCTTCCTCCCTCCTCCTCCTCTTCTCCACAAACCCCCTTCTAACACTGATGATGTTCCCTAGTAGGGTCTTGAAATGTCTGCAAGAAAACCCCCAAGCTCAGAAACCACCAAAGACCTACATTTCCTCCTCCTCCTCCTCCTCCTTCCTCCCTCCTCCTCCTCTTCTCCACAAACCCCCATCCCTTCTAACACGGATGATGTTCCCTAGCTGGGTCTTGAAACGTCTGCAAGAAAACCACCCAGCTCAGAGAGCACCAAGGACCCCACAAACCGACCCCTAAAAAGCAAAATAAATCCTGAAATCTGTGGATGGGCGATGGGCTGACGGAGAGGCGATGTTACGGCGCCAAAGACAGAGAAGCCGGTGTGCAGCGGGGGGAGAGGATCTCATTTCTGGAGATGAACCTCAGAGAGGCCCTTCCCTCCAGAGCTGGTCGGCTTTTGTGACGACGGTTGTCGTCTTCCTCCTCCTCCTCCTCTTCATCCCTCATGCCACATCCGCCTCTGGCTTTCTTTCGCGGCAGGGCTGCAAATGGATGATCCAACAGTTCCGCCTCTACCTGACGGCCAAGCACGGGGCCGAAGCCGTGGAGATGCTCTTCTCCGAGATGGACAACATTTTCATCAAGAGTCTCCAGAGCGTCCAGAAAGTGATCATCAGCGACAAGCATTGCTTCGAGCTCTACGGCTACGACATCCTGATCGACCAGAACCTCAAGCCGTAAGCAGGGCAGCGGGGCGTGTGCGTGTGTGTGTGTATGTGTGTGTGTGTCTTCAGGCAGCGTTCCCCCCCCTGCCCAACCTTTGACCTTTCAAGACAGGGGTGGAATTCGACTCCCGGAAGACCCCAGCCAGCCAGCCATGTTATAACTCACTTGATTAAGACATAAGACATAAGAATTTATTTGTCATTACACTCGCAAGCGGGTGCAACGAAATTAGGTGCTCTTCCACAAGTAAAACTGGACAACACCATTGAAAGAAAAATAAAACTAAACACAACAGACCATACAATAATCTCTATACAATTTAAACATGTAAATACCCCATTACTCTCAGCCATTAAATTCCACAAAAATCTTATGACCCTGCATTCAAACTCAAAACTGCACTTGGATAAAAAACTGTTCTTAAATCTAGTCGTCCTTGTTCTTAATACCCTGAATCTCCTTCTCGGTGGTAATAGTTCAAAGAGCGGATGTCCCGGATGAGAGGAGTCATTCAATATATTAAATATCTTCCTCTTACATTAGTGGCTTAGCAAGTGGAAATCCGGGTCCCAGCTGCAGTTATAACTTGACAACGGCTACTTCTGTGGCTTGATGTTGGCAAGGGGTCCTTGAAGCTCTTGGAGCTTGGTTGTTGTTGTTGTTGTTGTTGTTTTGCAGACATTTCATGACCCAACTAGGTAACCTCAGCAATGTTGGGGGGGGGAGGGGTTGCAGATACGAGTGGGGAGGAGGATGGCTATGGGGTCCTTAGTACTCTCCTAGCTTGGTGATTTTCTGGCAGACATCTCATGACCCAACTAGGTAACAACATCAGTGCTAGAAGAGGGTGGGGTTTGCAGAGAGGAGGAGGAGGAAGAGGAGGAGGAAGGAGAAGAAGAGGAGGA